TGCCTCCTGCCCGGGCGGCCGGCAGGGCCCTGGCCCGCAGCAGGGAGCTTTCACCTGGGCTCGCCCGCCCTCCTCTCCCCGGGGCCGTCCCCGCTGCCCCGGCGCCTCCGAGGTAATCGCTTTGCTTCGTGAAAGCCCGGCGCCTGACCGCGGGCGCGTTGGCTCCGCGGCTGCCGAGGACCGGGAGCGAAGACCCCGCTCCCCGGCCGCGCAGTCCCGTCCCGCGCGTCCGAAGCGCGGTTCCTCCTCACGGCGCGTTTCCGCGTTGCGTTCCCCGGTTTTGGCGGCGCATGGGTTGCGTGGCCCGTGTTCAGCCGGACTTCTCCTCAGAAGTCCCGAATCGTGCAAACCCCGGATTACCGCGCCTGGGCGTTTGGTCGCAGCTCCCAGAGATGAGAGAAAAACGCCGGCGTTCCGCCCCCCGCCAGCTCCCCGATTCGGGAGGTGATCGGCCGCCCCTGCCTTCCTCCTGCCGCCTTCCCCGTGACTCCCTGGGAAGCGTTTTCCCCTGGATCTGCACGGATCTGAACTTGGGTGTTTAGGGAAGCAGGCTTTTCCGTAACAGGTGCTGCTGATTTTTTCGGGGAGTATAAAATACAGCTAGAGCCTTCTCTAGATCAAAATGAGGAGAGTTAGACCTTAGGTCATCTTAGTGGGCTTAATCAAATTATCACCTTCGCTACCTCCGGTCGAGGCAGCGGTTGTTGTTTAGCAGAGCGCTGTATCTCTGTTGGTTTCAGAGGTACGAGCCCCGACTGGAGACGGAGGAGGTGGTAATTAGGTGATTAGGGCTGACAGGGTCCAACGGAGACCCTTAACTCCCGTTGTAGAGGCCTGTTTGGGGACGTTCCCATCTGTCACCGGGGACGTGCTTCCATCGCTGACTGTTGCGTCTCATAACGCAAAAGCAAGAGGCTGGATTTGCCCCTCGCTCGCCGCGGTGCACGGAGCAAAACACGGCTGCGATGGATGAGACCTCGTTCTTCCCTGCTTTGCCCGTAAAATGGGGCTAATCCCGCGTAAACCGGCGAGGCGGGCAGAGGAAGGAGGTGGAAGTGGTGCAGGCCAGGCCGGGAGATAAGCGCTGAGGGGACGCCAGCCTTCTAGCTGTTGTCTGCCGTAAAACATTTGTCCGTTTTCTGTATCTTATTCTCCTTAACGAAGCTGTACGTCTAACTGCAGAGGAACGCGGTCGTGCAAGCCGTAGGCCGTTCCACCTGGAGCCAGGAGGGCGGCCGTGGGAGCCTCGTTCTGGCCGGGTTTCCACGCTCCCCGCAGAGCACAGGCGCTGGTACGCGCTGCTGCGCATCCTCCTCCTGAGTTTAAAGCAGGGAAGTGTCACCAAATCCTCTCTTTGAGGCAGGGACTCTTGTTCGTGTACGGTGCTGAGCACCAGAAGGCCTGAATTCTGTGTGACCGTGGTATGGGTGGTAAGAAAACCGCCTGCTGTGGGGAGACCCCGCGGCTTCGTGTTGCGGTGGGAGTCTCGGTGTTTACCTCTCCCCGTGACGTCCAGCCGACCGACGCTAACGGCTTTGCCTTTTAGTTTGTAGTCTGCATCTCAGCAGTCGACGTCCAGTCCTGTTGTCTGGGCTGAAAAAATCCTCCTTTGACTCCTGGCTGTCCGGGATCTGCGGCCACGGGGACGCCCTGCGGCAGCGGGCGCTGGCTGGAGCCCGTTTCCGATCCCGGGGGTGACGCTCCGTGCTGGAAGGCGGGGAGGGCGGCCGAGAGAAGCGATGTTCTCGTGTTGGCGGCCTGCAGCGTGAGACGTTTGGTCCGGTTGCGGTGCTGGCCGGCAGGTTTGAGGACGCTTTTGCGCTCTCTGCTAATTTTGAGAGTTTTAAATCTCAGTGGTCGGTGAGAGCTGATTGTGCAACGTCAAAGTTAGGAGGGAGAGCCTGTGGAGGGAGAAAAGGGGGGGTCCTTGGTCTCGGGCTCGGGCTCAGTGGCGAGGGGTCGGGGTGCCGAGGCTGAGGACGGCAGTGAGCTCCAGAACAGGCTTCTCCACGTAACTCCTCCCGGGTGCAGGTAACCAAACCAAAGCGGGAACAGGTAAAGCGCATCCTGTCTCTGTGCCATCCTGGATCTGTCTGGCAGCTGCCTCACGCGGAAGGAATTGTTTGTCTGTTGGGCCTGCGCCATGGAAACTCGGCTGGGTTGGGGTAGGCAGGTAGGGAGCTGCGGAGCGCGGCGAGGTGACGCACGTTTAGGAAGCAGTGACTGAGAGTGAACTCTCTCCTCCCCTGCCATTACGCTGCTGTCCCCGGGCGGCAGCGAAAGGCCGTGTTTCAGGGAAGCTCGCGATGCTGATGTGCGCGTTTCCTTCTTCCAGGGTTAGGAGCACGTCGAGGAGCTGCGGTGGTTATCGACAGGGATTGAAATAAGGACGGGAATGTTGTGAGCAGGTTACACGTTTTCCCCAACCCAGCAGAGGTGGGGAGAGCCCGGTGAAGCGTGTTTTCGTGTCCTGTCTGGTGCTTCAGAAAGACTGAGCCACAAAGCACCCAGCTCTTCAGGCTGCGTCTGGGTAGATAGCTAGGGAGGACGGTGAGAGAGGGCTTGTAGCAGGGTGAGTAAAGCAGGGCGGAAAGCGCGGTAGGAAGGAAAGGAGGAGCTCAGGGCTTCGAGAAGCAACTGCTGGAAGAAGAGGGAATTAGAGTGAGACTTTACAGGGCTTTTAATTAAAAGAAAATTAAAGAAAGTCCCCAGAAATGGGGATGGGGGAAACAGAAGCAGCCCCTCGTATGAGTGGAGGGAAACTCCTGAGACTGGGGAAGAGTGCTCTGGAGGTGGCTGAGCAGGGTGGAGCCGGGGAAATACCCTGAAAAGGGGGTGCTAGGGTTGGAAAAACAGGTGGAAATCCTAAGGGAGAGGGAAAGGGGAGTCACCGGTGACGCACACACTCGGTAGAGTCTGACTGGGGGAGGAAGGAGTAGGGCTGAGTTGAGGGCAGGTCCAGCGAAGCTGGAAAGGAGGAGTTGCTGGGCTGGAAGTGGCAAAGGGAAGGGAATCGGAGGCAGGAGCGGAGCCTGTGTCCGCCTCAGGTAAGCGAGCCGAGCTGGGGACTCTTCCGAGCAGGGAAGCCTGTGAGTGGCCTTTGCGGATGGGGCAAAGTGACCAGAGGGACAAAGGGTTTGGGAAGAAGGCAGAGGGGAAGGAGGGGTTGATGGAGCGGAGGCGGATGGGTTGCAGGGCTGCAGAAGGGGAAGGCTAGGGAAGAAAGCACATACTTGGGAGAATCGGTGTGAACATGGCCTGAGTCAGCATAATCGGTGGGAAGTCAGGATGGATTTTGCTTGTGTTTCTCCTGAACAGCAGGGTAAATGACAAGGATGGTCAGGGTGAGGTAAGCCACGTAGTTTAGCCCAAGGAAAAGGGAAAAAGATACCTTGAAGATCGCACAGCAGAGATCCCAGCACGCCGCGCTGCACCCTGGATGGCCTCAGCCACCTGGATATTCCCAGCTGCGGGAGGATGGGAGCTGTTGCCTCGTGGTCAGGGCACGCAGGCGTCCTGGCCTCGGCTTCCCGCTCTCGGCTCTGGCGCTCGGAGGGCAGCAGGCTCTGCCTCCCCGGCGCCGGTCTGCCCGGGCCCTCCCGGGGGCGGCCTCCGCGGCAGGGCTGGGGCTGGGGGGGGCCGGGGGGGGGGGGCGCCCCGGGGGGGGGGGGGGGGGGGGTGGGAATGCGTGGCTCAGGAGCGTGCGGGATGCGATGCCCTTCCACTGACGCACCAGGCGGGGGGCAGCAGCCTCTGCCTCCCCGGCGCCGGTCTGCCCGGGCCCTCCCGGGGGCGGCCTCCGCGGCAGGGCTGGGGCTGGCGGGCTCCGGAGGGGCTCAGCACGCTGTGGGGCTGGAGGAGGGAGCCCGAGCTGCGCGGTGGCTCTGGGGGCCGGGCGGGATGGGCTCGGCAGCCTGATGTAGGTGTGGGGAGGTGGGGAGTTATTCTTGGGCGAAGGCAGCGAGGAGCAAGGATTATATTTGCGTTGCACCTCGCTTGGGTGTCACTAATGACAGCGCTGGGGATTTCTCCCACACACGAAGTGCTTGTTCAGGTAGACTGTCCCATGAGCAATTATCTCGACTCGTACATTCTTTATTTGATGAGGAGCTCGCTCCTGCGCTGCCCGCCGTTCGTTTCTGTACTGAGCCGAGCTGGCGCGCAGACCTTTGCAAAGGCACGGTGTGCCAGGTCGCCCCGCGTGAGGGGCTGGAGCGCCTGAATTCGTGCCCCCATCTGCAGGTGGAAGAGCTGAGGCAGAGCCGAGCCGGGCCCGCGCGGGGGGCTGGGGCTTCAGGGGCAGCCTCTGGGGGAAGCGCGCTGATTGCGCTGTGCGAGGAGAGGGGTGGAGAAGATCTCTGGAGGAGGAATATCGCAGGGAAAAGCTCCTTCAATTCCGCAGTATCTGTTTGAGTTCGAGGTGTGGCTTTGTTTTCATGGCGGAGCCTTTCAAAGGGCTGGGGTGTTCTGTTACAGCAGACAAGCGTGTTAGCAGATTGCTTCTGCTAAAGTAATTAGCAGTGATGTCATCTTTAAACTTCCGAGTAACCTATCCCTAGAATTGCTGTCCGCCTGTATCGCAGCAGCAGCAGCTAGCTCAGGCGACGAGCACTTCCCTCCCTGGGCGATGGCACGGCAGGGCTCATCTTCGTGGGGCGTCCGGCTTTTCCCCGAATCGTCTCTGCAGGGGCTTGCGCTTGCCTCTCGTCGTCGAAGCTCAGCATTGTGTTTGGGGGGCAGAGCGAGGCCGGGGAGCTGCCGCCCGCTGGGGAAAGCAACTGCTCTCTCTGGTGTTACCCTTAAACTCGCCGCGGCCAAGAGCTGCTACCGGGGGAAACCGGAGCTTTCCCCAGCCGGCCCGCGAGCATCGGTCCAGGGTTTCCTCTCAGACGCAAGGGCAAAAAAACTTGGTTTGAGAAGTTGAGCTTCATTTCTGCAAAGGAAGAACTGCTCCGCAGTGGGAGCGGTTCCTTCATTAGTCAGCCAAAGTGACTGACGCCTCGTTTTGTGACTGAACTGATTTAATTGTAATATATTCTTGTCATTAAATGCGCCTTTAATTTCGTGCCGCAGTTCTCTCAACCTTCACGAGTGTTTAGTCAGCACTAGATATTTTCCTGTCCACCCCGAGGAAAAAAAACTTTGAGAGGCAGGAGAAAACTGGAAGGAAAAAGCCAACGAGTCGTTGGGCACTATACTTGGACCTGCAGTGCAAGGGAGGCGGCAGCAAAGCGGAGAAGGGGTGGCAAACGGAGGAGCGGTTTCTGTAGCAGTAGTAATCGGTCCCTAGCTCATCCCTGAGCTGCGACACGCTCTTGGGTGTTTGGAGTTTGGGGCAGGTTCGTGCCTCCTGCTTCCATTTCCAGAAAGGTTTGGGTTTCCCTATTTTTTGTGGCGCTCCCTCCTGCGTCCTCGTGATCAGCCGAGGGCGGCGTGTTCCCGGGGCACCCTGAGTCGCTCGGGGCTACCCGGTGAGAACCCGGCTCTGCTTTGTCCGGAGCTGCACGTACCTCCTTCGGTCGAGGGGCTGGCGCTTGCCACGGGCCTCTCCCGTCTCCTACCCTCCAGGGGGAAGGGGACAAGATTCCTGGCTGTCTTTTCCTCCTGCGGTCTCCACCCTCGTATTAAGGCTCCAAGCCTCTGATCAGCCCCTTCACCTGGAGGGAGCAGGCGTTCTCTGGCGTTCGGGCTCAAGCTACAACTGCAGAAAGGCCTTGAGCAAGAAGTCGTAGGGTCCCTCGCCTTATCTGGGGCTCGGTGTGGATTTCTCGAGTGGTCTCAGAGGGGTTTGGTGGCTCGGCTTTCTCTGCAGCAAATGCCGCAGGGCCTCGGGCTGGGAAAGGAGACGGCAGGCTGCGGCCGGGCTCCCTTGGCTAATCACAGCCTCCACGGGGCGGTCATTACGCCGGTTTTGCAGATGTGGAAAGGGACGCTGATGCTGGGCGATAGGTCTGGGGTACGGCGTCAATCTGTGTCAGAGCTGGGCTTGGAGATCGGCATCTTGCAGACCGGGACTTGCCAACGGGGTTTTAAATCTACCAGGCACTGTTTCCATCTTCCACCGAAGGCCTGCTCCGTGTCCTGGGGAGCTCGCTGTTATTTTAGTGAGTATTTTTACATGGCTGTGTCTCTTCTCTTGCCTTGTTAATTTTGGTTTTTTTCCCCCCCCCCAGGTGAGGTGTGGCGTACCAGATGTCAAGTTTTAAGGATTTTATGTAGTTTTTTAAAAGACAAATGGATTAATGAAGAATTCTAGCGAAGGAAAGGGAGGAAAAAAAGGAGCAATCTGGAACAAACCGAGATCTTCCCCGGCACCGCTCGGGCCATGGGCGAGGCAGACCTATTCAGCACCGTTTTCACCGCCAGTTGTCTTCTGGGGTTGTAAAAGCACTCCCTGAAAGCTCCCCTCCAGACCTCTCCGTTAACCTGCCCCGCGCTGCTTGGAAATGGTTGCCGCAGAAAAGATTTAATGAAATTCCTGTTGATTCCCAACCACCGAGTGGACACTAAGCCCGTGGAAAGGCCTGGGGGGTCGGGAGAAAGGAACGAGTAGCAAGAGGACGAAAACACACAATCTGCTGGACCTTCCCCTCCCACCCCCCTCGCAAAGAAAGGATTTACAGCTCAACCTTGCACCAGCTGTTCCTCGGCTTTAACAGTCAAGAGAGAAATAAATAAAATTAAACGGCCACCGCCAGCCAGCCGGTCCCGGATCCTGGTGAAATCAGGGAGAGTGTTTCCGTGACCCCCTCCAGCGAGGAGGAGGAGGCGGCGGCGCAGCGGTGCTGCGAGGAAGCTGGGCAGATTGCTTGCGAGACAACCCCCTCCTCCCGTGCGGCAGCCGGAGGGGGCTGCAGCATATCAGAGGGCAGATTAAAAAGGAGAAGTGGCTTCCTTGAGACTCCCGGAGTGGCTTTTTTGCAAGAAGTTTAACGATATCTTGCTCTCTCCCGGGGTGCTGGCTGGGTGGGAAGGTGCGCCCAGCTCTCCGCCTCGCACGTCGCGCTCATCCCCCTGCCCGAGCCTGGAAGGCTTCCCTTCCCCTCGGAGCCTGGTGGCCGCTGTCAGCCGTGCGGGGACCTGCTTTTTGCAGGCTGCCGCCCGACGGAGGGAAGCTCGTAAGGGCTCTCGGCGTTCCTGCCCCAGTGGCTGTTTTAAATCCAAATCCAGTTCTCTGTTCTGAATTTTTAATGTTTTTAAACCTCCTTCCCTGCGCCCGCCAACTCCTGTGGGGCAGAGCGTAGTGTGGACTCCTCTCCTGGGCCTCACGCTCCAGAGACCGCTGTGGACTTCTCCAGACCATCCGCTCGGGTCAGAGCTCGCCCTGGGAGCAGGCGCGGAGGCTGGGTAGTGGTTTGCCCCCTTCCCTCTCCCCTCCCCTTCTCGTCTTGCTCTGACTCCCGCTGGGCCTGGGCTATGCTGCGGGGCGGATCCCCCACCACAGCTCCAACATGCCAGCAGCATCTGGAAAGAGATTCAAACCCAGCAAATACGTCCCGGTCTCAGCTGCTGCCATCTTCCTAGTGGGAGCCACCACCCTCTTCTTTGCCTTCACGTGAGTCCCAGCTACTCAGCCAAAGAGCGGGGAGGGCGAAGGGGGACCCGGCCCCCTCCGTGCGGAGCCGTGAGGTTGGGGGGGGCAGAGACCGCACGGGGGTTATCTGGGAGAGGAGCTGCGACTTCTCGCTGAACCAAAGGGGGGGATATTGTGCTCTGGGTGCTCAAGGGTGGGCGATGGAGCAGCCCTGCAGTCCATCGGAGCAATTCAGCCGCAGCTGGACCCGTTTCACGGGGTTTTCCCGTGAGGTGAGCCAGAGGAAGCGGGGCACGGTGGATCCTGGTGAGGCACCTTGCCACCGCTCGGCTCCGGTCCCTGGCAGCCGCTCCTCTCCTGTCGTCGGGTGTTTGCACAACTCGCTCGTCTCGCTGGCAACTCTCTCGCGAATCAGCCGGGCTGGGAATTAGTTTGTGACCTGTAGGTGGAAAGTGGCATAGATAATTTTCTCCTTTGGAGCTAAGTGAAGTGGTTTGGTGGGCTGGGGCAGGCTCTGTGTTATTTTTAGAGTTTCGTAACTGATTTGTGAGCCACAAAGGAAAGTTCAAGGGGAAGTACTCTGACCCCTGCGTGGATCTCCTGCTGCTGTTGACACCAGCCTTGCCCTCAGAAAACGAGGGTTTGGTGTCTCCAGAGAGGACCCAAAGGAGGCGGCCTGCCGGCGGGTCGCTGGGCCCTGAGGCAGACACCTGTGTTGGCCTGGGAGCCGGTGGGGAAAAGCCGGGGTGTAAAATGGTACCAGTTGCTGGGGAGGGCCAGACCGTACCGTAGGGATCTCCCTGGGCTGGGAGAGGGGCATGGCTGCTGCTCACGTTAACATTTTCCCTTCCTGGGTGACAAATAGCTTATTAACGCTCGCTCGGGGCCGAGCTGAGCCGGTTCTGGTTGGCGGCAGGGGGGGGGGCAGGCCCGGGGGGTCCGGGGGGGGCTGCCGAGCTGCTGTGCTGCTGCCGAGCCCTGGCAGGGAGCTGCCTGCGCTCTCCGCTCGAGCGGCCGCAGCCAGGCCGGCGCCGAGGCGCCTGCGTGCTGGGCAGCGACGCTGGAGCGCAGCAACCGGGGCTGGCTACCGAATCCGGCAGTGTCTGCCTGGGGTCGGGGTCTGAGGGGGGACGTGTTTTGGGGGGACAGGAGAGAGATCTGTAGATCAGACGGGTGTTTCTTTGTGCTCGCGCCTCAGAGGGCTCAATGGTGGCTCGGTGCAAAGGGTTTGGGATTGTTACGGCAGTCGGAGATGTGCCGGCTGTGGGCCTGGGGTGTCCCGGGCAGGGGAGAGGAGGGTGGTGGGTGACCGCTGCCTGCATCCCCTCAAGCAGGGTGCCTGTTGAGCGGCGCCCTCCAGCCAGCCAGCTGCCCTCCGCTCTGTTTTTCCTCTTGAGCCTCCCTCCATCCCTCCATCCCTCCATCCCTCCATCCCTCCTGTCTGAGCGCACGCTGGCCTGAAGGTGGGCAGCCCACGGCCTCGGTGGGTGCGCTCTGTCCTTCCAGCCCTCTCCAGGGAGGCAGATCCGCCCAGCTCCTTTTTTCCTCCCTGCTTCCCTGTTTCTCTTCGCTGCCAGCTGCTCCTGGCCAGCTCCTGGCCGGGCGGAGAGGGAGGTGCACCCCCTGCTCCCGGAAAGCCTCTCCCGCTCGCCAGGGTGCCTTGCACTTGCAGGGCACCTTTCACTGCGCCCTGCTGAGAGCTTTCCCCGCTGAGGGGTTTTACTGCTGGGCCGGGCTGGCGTGGCTGCGGGGATTAGCCGGAACCGCCGGAGGCAGAAGCGTGATGGCTGCTGCCGCTCCCTGGGATGGAGCCATCGGTGGCTGGAAGGTCACCGCAGCTTTAACGCCTGGCAACAACGGGGCAATAAAAGAGTCATTTGACGGCTAAAGGACAGGGTCGGTTTGATTTACTCCTTCCAGCGACGGGAGGCAGCTGGTGGTGTCGCTCAGCAGCGCGCAGCAGTCCCCCCGCCGAGACGCTCCGCGTTCATCAGGCCGGCGTTGCCGGCAGCTCCGAGGCCGGAGGCTTTGCTGCTTCGGGCTGTCAGATGCTTGCAGGGAGTCGCTGGCGCTGTGCTGCCGCTGCAGGGTGATGAAGGAGAAGAGGAGGGAGCGGGCGATGTCTCTGAGCAGCTGTGCGTGACACGCCGTGACTGGGGGACAGGCGTGCCCCTGCTTTGTCACGGCAGGCTGCGCGCTGCGCTTCGGGGGGGAATAGCAGGGCAGCCCTACCCCCCCAAACCCAGTCCTTGCTGCTGCGGCCAAGCCTGCGGTACCTGGCTGTGAGCTATCGCAGCAGCCGATAGCAGCCGCTTATCAGCGAGCAGCGTGGTGCGAGGCATCGCCGGGAGCAGGCGCCGGTGCCGCGGAGCAGGTTCGTTCAGAACAGGAACACCTGGGCAGGGTCGCTTTAATTGTAGGTCAGTGGATGTTATTTAACCTACTTTAAAACATCAAATTAAATCTCAAGCAGAGCAGCAGAGCGCAGCGCACTTTCACACGGGTTATTCAGTGGGGAGGGAATTGCGTTACACCCCGGCGTTACAGTTCTCTTGGGGCAGCTTCCGCCTGGCCGCTGGAGCGGGATGGAGGGAACGTGCAGGGCCACAGCGAGGTTTTTCCCCCCGCACGGGAGCCGTAGGCCTGGTTTCCTGTGGATCGCTCTGCCCCTCTTCCCTGGCGAAAGGCAGGCGAGGCGGCTGCGAGCCCGCTGCCTGGCCGCGCTCGGTGCCGGCCGCCGCGGCAGCGGGGCCCTGCTCCGCAGCACTTGCCGCGTCTGGCATCCTCGCTGCGGGCCGGCTCAGGAGGGCTACGCTGTTGGCATCGGACCTGAAGCTCGTGCTTCGGGAAGTGAGATGGAAGTTGTGAGGTGGGGGGGCTCCGGGACGCCTCCCACGGGGCCCCCTCCCAGGCGGAGAGCAGCCAGGGCTCGGCACGGCTCTCGTGAAAGGCTCCAGCTGCGTTATTTCTAGTGTGTCTGCCGGACGCCTTTTGGTCCATCCACACTGGCCCAAGATTTGTACCCCTGGGCCGAGAACTCTATTTAATTGATTAATTAAATGAGGAGATGCTGCAGAACGCGTGGCAGTTGGAATGAGCTGAGGCCGATTGTGCTGGAGGGAGCAGGCAGCAGGAAGAGGGGATGTTCCCGTCCTCCCTCTGGAAGGAGTGGGGGTCTCTGCCTTGCTGGGGTCTCAAACAGGTGCCACTTTAGGACCGAAATTCCCCCTTGGGATCAGTTCCTCCATTCCTGCATCTCTCCCCAGGCTGTACTGGTCCTTGCTCCTCGTGCAGTCGGTGCTCAGCCTCTCCTTCCCCTCTGGAGCAGGGAGCGCCTCCGAGCTGCCCTTGGCGGGGGCTCTCTGGGTAGCATTCCGTCAGTCGGCCTCTTCCTCCTCTTTGCCTCGACTCTTCCTCATGGCCACGGCTCAGCATGGCTACGGGGACTGTATAAAAGCCTGCAAAGTATAAACCGTTCCTTGCATTTAGGTGAATCTGTCTGTGAAACTTCTGGCCCCGACTTTTCCTCCCGTCCTTGCAGCTGGGAAGGCTGCGGGGGAACGGCACCTCTTTGGGAAAGGAGCTCTTGCCTCTTTGGCGTTGATGGAGGGCAGAGAAAGGAGAGGCATGAGGACGGGGACGCCGGGGTAAGATGTGGCAGTCCCTGGAGCCGGCGGTGCCTCTGGTAGGCGGCAGCACGCACACTCCTAGTTGGACCCAAACTTGGGTGACCGTCGCAGTGAGCAGGGGCTGCATTTGCACCGAGGCCTTTGAGAGAGCTGGAGAGGCCATGAGCCCAACCGTCCTGCGGCGGGTCCGCGAGGAGAGCACGGCCCTGGCATGGCGCCGGCCCCTCCTCGCTCCCTCGGCGGCGGGTCGGAGTCCAGGGGTGCAGGCGGGGCGGGGAAGGCGTCCTTGGGGACGGCCGCCTTCTGGGAGAGGGCAGGGGCCGAGGGGCCGCAGGGTGGCTCTGAGCCTGCGGAGGGGAGGAGAAGCCAGGCCAGGGAGTGACGGGCTTCTCCTGGTATGACAAGTGGCAAAAAGCCCGTCTCGAATCCAGATGTGACTCAGTTTGCCCGAGGTTCCCCGATTTCTCTTATGTGCTGCCAGAGACAAGTCTCGACAGCTCTTCTAGCGATGGGCGTGCTTCTCATCCCAATCTGGAGAGGGAACTTGATGAGTTCTCTGGGACCTGCGTGGCCACGATGGCGAGCAGCCTCCCTCCTCCTCCCCTGCGGAGCCGGAGCCCGAGGTCCTCGGCTGCTCCCAGTGTCGGGGCAGGGCCTGCAGCCCCGTGCTCTCCGTCTGGGAGAGCAAAAGGCAGGAACGCGTCGGTGCTTCTGATAACGAGGTTTCCTCTCGGGGATCAGCGGCCACCTTTGCTCCCTGCGCTGCAGAGGACCGTGTTCCCTCCCGCAGGGTGGGGGGCGACTCCCCTGTGTTTGGGGCCACGAGCACGGACGGCAGCGGGCGGTTTGGTTCGAGGAGCACATGGCCTGTGTGTCGTGAGGGTTCCTGCTTCCCTCCCGTGGCGTGATGGGGTCCCTGGGCGTGGGGAGAGCTGGGAGGTCAGCAGGCAGTGGGCTGCCGTGCTTGGGAGCGCAGGGGAGGAGACCCCAGCATCGTGCTTGCGACCCAGGAGCGCTCAGCCCGAGGCTGCCCTCCTGAGCCGTGGCTCCTCGTGTCCCTGGGGAGGGTGTTCTGCTTGCCCTGGCCCGTGAAATCCCACCCCGGGGTGGCTTTGCATCCCCGGGCAGTTGTTCAGGGTGTAAAGTTCGCTCCGTGTAGAGCAGAGCCTGGCAGCTTGCCTGTCCAGTTGCACGCAGCTGGCAGGACCTGAGAAGGACAGGGGTTGTAAGCTGTCCCCTGGCACCACATCAGCTTCTCTGATCAGTTCTCCTTCCTGGAGGCTGGAGTTCAGTCTTCCATCACCTGCGGAGTCCGGCTGGCAGGTTGGCTCTCGGAGTAATCAGGGTCCTGCCTTAGGTTCGAGACCGGAGGCTGGGTTTGGAGGACGCGTTGCAGCGGCAGGGGGGATCGGTGTCCCCAGGCAGGTCTGCTGCGTTTGAACCATTGGCATCATTGCTCGCCCTCGTAAAGCTGTGGCTGCGTCCTCCTCAGTGCCAGGGTGTCTGGAGCCTGCCGGTGCTTCCTTAGCTAAAGGGTCGGCCTCTCTCACGCCTGGGGGCTGCCGGCCGCTGTCCTGCCCCCCGGGAGCTGCGCTTCTCCCTCCTGGGAAGCGCTCAGGGCCCAGACAGCGTGGGAGACGATGGGAGAGGCATTCCCTCCCCCCTGGAAGGCCAGTCCTTCCCTCCATGCCTGCCCCAGAGCTTTTCCTCTGTGCCAGCCTCCGCTGAGGCAGCTCCCTCTTTCCCCCTGCCTTGCCAGGGTCTGGCTTTCGAGGATCTGGGCTGCATGTTTGGCTCGGCTTTGCTGTTGGCATTTCCCTTGTGCAGGGATGGCTGGCGTGCAGTGGGTCTCCCTGGCTCCCCTCCATCCCTCTCAAGCAAAGATTTGGGCCGGGCTTTGCCTTCCTAGAGAGAGGAGCTCCGTGCTCAGGGTTTCTGGAAGGGCTTTTCATACCTTTAGGGCTCATCTGAGCCCCCTGCCCCTCTTTCTCCGGCAGTGTCTCCGCTGCCCCTCTTACCTCTGCAGCTCGACAGAGAGCAGAGCCAGGGAGGTTCCTTTCGAGTTGGGGTGCTCGGCTCAGTGACGCGGGGTGCTTGCTCTGCCCTTCCTTGGGGCAAGGTGACATTATGAGCGTCCACCTTCCCCTTGGTACCCTCTGTGTCCGGTGCCCAGGGCAGGAGAGGAGGGGAACGCCCTTCCAAAGGGGCTGCTGCGCCACGAGGCCAGAGAGTGGCCCCGTTGGGTCTCTCGAAGACCAGGACAACAGCGGCGATGAAGAGAGATGGGGGCTAACAAAGCCACCCATCTCCTTGAAACCGCACCACTGGTGAGGCCGCTGGCCCTGGAAGCCACGAGGAGTGGGCGGTTTGCCCCTTGCCCAGCTCTCCTTCAGCTGCTGGGCCAGTACCTGGGGGCTGCTGGCTCCCTGCCGGCTCCCTGCCTTGCCAGCCTGCCCGGCTGCAAATACCAGTTTCCCCTCGGCAAGACTGGGAGAGTTTCTTGCCTTCGTTTTCTGCGAACCACTTAAACCAGTTGACTGTTTCTTGCGGGTGCTGTTCGGGTGGGTGGCCGGGGGCAGCCCCGGCAGCAGCTGGGTGCTGGGGGTGGGTGGGACGAGCCCTCTCCCCAGGCACGGCCCGCCCGGCGGAGGGAAGGGGAGGCTGGGCAAGGTGTGAGCTCCTCGCTCCTGGCACAGCTTCCAGTCCCGCGGCAGGTCCCAGCGGTGCTGGGGATACTGGGGTAGCCGGGGTGGAGGGGGCGGGGCAGGGTGTGGGCCCCCCGCTCCGGGCACGGCTTCCAGTCCCGCGGCAGCTCCCAGCGATGCTGGTCATACTGGGCTAGCCGGGCTCGATGCGGCTGGCACGTTCTTCCCTCGCTCTTGTCTTGGCCCGCGATGTCACGTACGTCCTGTACCTTTCCAGAGCTGCTCTCCGAGGGTTTCGGGGTGCGGATTGGAGAGGACTCCTCCTCGCCAGCCCGTCCCAGCTGTGCTGGTGCCGCCTGCTCTGCGGAGAATCCGCCTGGCCGGCTCCCAAAGGAGATGGCAGGGCCGGCTGCCTCGGGAGGCAGAGCCGGCAGGGCTGGTGCCGCGCGGGTTGTGAAGGAGCCGCTCCCCGGCCTGGAGGAGAGCTCTCGGTGCAACGCCGGGAGATGCTGCCCCAGATACGTGGAGGCGGGAAGGCATCGCCCGAGGTGCCCGGGAGGGCGAGGCTCCCAGCCCAGCGAGGCGCTCGGGGGCTCCTGAGCGGCATGGAGGAACGGGGCAGGGGGTGGAGGAGGTTTTGGAGAAGGCAGTTTGCAGGTGCAGCCCTGGTCTGGTGCTGCTGAGGGTGGAGGCCCTGGGCCCCGCTGCGGGAGACGAGGAGGAGGAGGAGTGTGGTGGTCGGCAGAGCAGGGCTTGGCTCCCGGCACGCTCCTGCTAGCCAGCTGTCTTTAAAGGCGAGAGGGTTTGCCCTCCCGCTCTCCTCTTGCCCTCGTGGCTGGGCCTGGACGGGGCCGGCCTTGTCCTGGGCCAGCGGAGGGCAGGTCCCGCTCCGCGGGTGCAGGGAAGGGCCGGGGCATGGAGCCGTGCCCGGTGCCGGGGTGTGCCCTGCCTGCCTCTCCCTCCTCCGCTGCCAGGGAGGTGCCAAGGCGGGTGTGCCCGTGCCGCCAGCCCGGACCCGTCTTATCTCCTGCCTGCCGCTTGCCCGGAGGCAGCCCTCCACCTGGCACCCTCGCTCAGGGCCCTGCCAGCCCCGGACTGGGCTGAACTGGGGGCAGAGCCCTGGACCAAGGGTTCGTTCCCAGTTGGAGCCTCGCCGGGGCTCCCAGGGCTGCGGTGACAAGGACAGGGGCTGCCTCAGTGGTGGTGGGACCCGTCCCCTGGCTGAGTCACAGCGGGGGGTGGCGGAGGAGGGGACGGGACGGGACCAGCGCCTGCCCCTTCACCTCTACCTGCTCGGGGGCTGCGGGGGATTACAGCGCTGGCACCATATGTCACCCTGCCCGCCGAGCCCTGCGCTCTGCCCCTCTCTGCTCCTTCTGCCTAAATCCATCTGCGCTTATCGCTGCGGGGGGAAGAGAGGGACAGATGCTGCCCTAGATCTGCGGGATTAAACTCCCAGCAGCAAAGCAGATTAGGGTATTACGCTGGTGCCTCTGAGGGGGAAGCCCGCTGTCCTGCGCCCGTGCCCGCCCAGGGCAGGGGGGACGGTGATGATTCCCTCGCTGTGCTCCCACGGGGCCCCTCGGCCACGGAGGAGCTGGGGGCTGGCTGGGGCAGGCTGGCGTGGTGATGGGGTCCCCGTGCGCCACCGGAGTTGTCTCCAGGTTGGGCTCCGACTCCGGGATGTGAGGAGCAGGAGCAGCTCTGGAGGCACCGGAGCTGCTGCTGGTTTTGCATCCCGCCGCGGGGTCCCCTCTGCCCCCCGTGCTCACTGGTGTGACGCACGGAGGGTGACGCTCGGGCGCCCTGTGGCCGGATCCCTCCCGAGCGTCCCCCGTGCCATCGGCCTGGCTCACCCCATTCTCGCCACCGCCTGCGGTTGCTCCCTGTGGCGGCGGGGCCCTGGGCTGGCAGTGCCCGTGGGGCTGTGGGTGCAAGAGGCAAGCAGTGGTTTCGCTCTCCGATGATTTAGCGGAGCGCGGCACCGTCGGAGCTCGGTGACGTTTGCCTGGGGCTCTGCGGGAGCAGGGCAGCGATGTGAGGGGCAGCGGGAAGCGCCAGAGTGACCTGCGGGACGGGGGCTGGGTGTCTCACTGCTTTTGTGCCTGCAGATGCCCCGGGCTCAGCCTGTACGTCTCCCCAGTCATTCCTGTCTACAATGCCGTCGTCTTCCTCTTCGTGCTGGCGAACTTCAGCATGGCCACCTTCATGGACCCAGGCATATTCCCACGAGGTGAGTCTGGCTCTGCTTGGGAAGCGTCTCAGCTAGAGCCACCTCCTTCCCCCCTTCCGCCGAGGTAAAGAGGATTGCCTGATCCCAGAAGGCTTGAGGAAAGCCCTCCTTGCGCTGCCCGGGTGGGACCGGGTGGTGACACGCGCTATGGGGACGGTAGCTCTGGGTTCAGCACCCAGCCTGTAGGACCGGGCGGCGGAAGCCGCGTAAATCCTGGCACCTCGCATCGGGTAGCCGGGGCACAGGCGGGTGTCGCGTTCGGGGCAGGGCCTGGGAGAGCCCCCCACCTCTACCTGTGTTTGGGGGTTCCTGGCTGGTCCCCGTGCCAGGCGAGATGAGCCTGGCGACAGAGGAGGGCGATGCCGGGCATCTCCAGCTCGGGAGGGCAGGAGGCTGGCTGGGCCCTGGCGTCGCCTTCCCCCGCGCCCTGACGCGTGGCTGTGCCGGGGTTTCCCCGTCAGCTGAGGAGGACGAAGACAAGGAGGATGACTTCCGAGCTCCGCTCTACAAGACGGTGGAGATCAAGGGCATCCAGGTGCGCATGAAATGGTGCGCGACCTGCCGCTTCTACCGGCCGCCACGCTGCTCCCACTGCAGCGTCTGCGACAACTGCGTGGAGGTGAGGAACTGCCGGGTCTCGGTGCCTCTTCGTTTCCACGTAGAGTTTAATACGCAGGGCAGGCAGGGAGCCCTGGCAGCCAAGCCCTTCACCGCGTCTTCTCCCCACCAACAGGAGTTTGACCATCACTGCCCCTGGGTCAACAACTGCATCGGGCGGCGCAATTACCGTTACTTCTTCCTCTTCTTGCTGTCGCTCACCACGCACATCATGGGGGTGTTTGGCTTCGGCCTGCTCTACGTCCTCTACCAGGTGGAGGAGCTTTCCGGCGTCCGCATGGCGGTCACGTATCCTCTGCGGGGCTGCAGGAGCGGGGCCGAGGGGGGGGTGTTGGTGGGGCTGGGGACAGCGCGCTGTGGAGCAGGGCTGCGGCTCTTCCTTAGCTGTCTGCCGACAGTATGGTGGTGATGTGTGTGGCCGGCTTATTCTTCATTCCCGTCGCTGGCCTTACGGGGTTCCACGTGGTGCTCGTGGCGAGGGGCCGTACTACCAACGAACAGGTATGCCTGTGGGGCTGGTGCAGGGCCGCTAGCCCCTGTCAGGCCACAGCTGGATATGTTTTGGGGCTCCCCGGGACAAGACGGACGTGGACAGGCTGGATTGAGGCAAGGAAAGGCCACCGGGCTGGCTGGGGGCTGGAGCACGAGATGTCTGCGAGGGGAGGCTGAGAGCGGCCCGTCTGCGCAGCCTGCAGACGGGGGGTCCTTACTGCCGCTGTTGGGGGCGGCTGCAGAGCGGATGGAGCCCCCTCGGGAGGGCAAGGGGCGACGGGCACAACTTGAAGCAAGGCAGCTTCCAGTTAGACACTGGAGAAAGACTTTTCCCCTTCAAGGGTGGTTCAACACTGGAACAGGGACCTGGAAAAGGGGGAGTATCTCCAAGTGTCTCTGTCCTTGGAGATTGTCGTGAGTGAGCTGGACAAACCCTGAGCAGCCTGGCCTGGCTGGCTGGACCGGAGACCTCCCGAGGTCCCTGCCCGCCCCGGTATGCTGCGATGCTCCTCATCCCGCAGGTGACGGGCAAGTTCCGCGGTGGCGTCAACCCCTTCACCAACGGTTGCTGTAAGAACGTCAGCCGGGTCCTCTGCAGCTCCCCGGCCCCCAGGTGAGCCCGGCACGGTGTGGCGGTGCCCCCCCAGCCCCGCAGCACCCGGGCAGACTGCCCCGTCCCGAGCTCCAGGCCTTGATCTTCCTCCCACCCCTCTCCCTAGGTACCTCGGGCGCCCGAAGGCCGAGCAGACGGTGCTGGTGAGGCCCCCCTTCTTGCGGCCCGAGGTGTCAGACGGTCAGATCACTGTCAAGATCATGGACAACGGTATCCAGACAGAGCTGAAGAGGACGAAGGTGAGGAAGGTGGGGATTAGCGGTCCCTGCGTTGGGGCCCCTCCATGGAGCCCAGGGGTGCAAGCCCGCATCCGTGAGTAAAGAACCGAGTGAGCCTTGTCACGTTCGCCGTCCCCTCCGTGTCGTCTTGTGCTGTGTCCCCATGGGATGGAAACCATGTCCCTCCCATGCAGCAGCGACCACATGAGGCTTTGCACCCTCCATTCCCCTTCCCCGCCCTGTCCTTCCCCCTCGCAGCATCCTCTGGAGGTCCCCGTCCTCCGCACTTCCCAGCAGCCGAGGCGCCTGCTGCCTTCAAGTGCTCGCTGTGTTGGATGGCCCAGGAGGCAGCGAGAGCCCCCGTAACGCCGCTGCCTGCTCCCTGCCTGCCGAGGGGAGGGCTGAGGCCTCGGCACCCCTCTGATCCTCCCTCTGCGCTTTGTCTCTGCAGTCCAAAGGAAGCCTGGAGGTGACAGAGAGCCAGTCTGCTGACGCCGAGCCACCCCCCCCACCTAAGCCAGACCTCAGCCGCTACACGGGCCTGAGGACACACTTAGCCCTGGCCACCAACGAGGGTAAGGAAGGCACGCAGGGGCCCAGGCAGCCGCTGGGAGGGGAGCCCAGGGCTGCGCCAGGCAGACCAGGAGCCAGGGCCGTAGGCGGAACAGGATGCAGGGCAGACCCGAAGCGCATCAGCACCGCCGCGTTGTGGGGCAGGACGTGCCCGTGTTCCGGGCCGATACATGTGGCCCCTCGCACTTGGAGAAGCCTGCGGGATGCTTACAGCCAGCTCTGCTCTGTCAGAGGAGCAGGAGGCCGAGCTGAGACGGCGTGGCGCTTGTCCAGAGCCACTGCGAGCTGCGGTGGCCTGCGACGGGCAGGCTTGCGGGCTGCCGTGCTGCAGGCAGGTGCAGGAGCATTGCCCGGACGAAGGAGGCGGAGGAGTGGCCGGCCTGGCTTGGCAGCAGAGAGCACGTTTGCGGCAGCCTGTGTGACTCGCTTTCCCCGCTTCCCTGAGTGCCAGCAAAGCAGTGTTTGGAGCTGCCTGCGTGGGCTTGGCAAGAGAGGTGGGATGTGAAGGGCAGAGCTTGGAAGCAGCCGCTTCCCACGGCGGCCGGAGGCCTCTGCAGTTCTCCCCGTCCCCCCGGCCAGGGCGCAGCGCTGCCCGGCCCCGCTGCCTGGAGAAGGGCTGCGGCGCGTGTGTCCGTGGGGCGACCAGCCAGCAGGTCTGTGGGGTGCCCCGGCACCCGCTGACGCCTCCGTGCAGCGCGCGCCCCGGGCACCACCCGGCCGGGGCCGCCGCAGGGGCAGGGACGTGCCAGCCCCAAACACGTGGTTATGGGGACACGTTTTCCATTCCGCTCCATTTCGTCTGCCCCTGGTGCACCTCTCCTCGAGCCCGTCCCTCTCTCCACCTCTGCCTCCCTGGTCTGTCCACCCCAGGCTCAGAGCCGGTTCTTGGGAAGGGAGGGCAGGGCTCCGCGCGGCGTTCCTGCCCCTGCGCAGCCCCGGGGAGCCGCCGCGGTCTGAGCGTCCTTCTCTCTTCCCCCGCCCGCAGACAGCAGCTTGCTAGGCAAGGACAGCCCCCCGACCCCCACCATGTACAAGTACCGGCCCGGCTACAGCAGCAGCAGCAGCTCGGCGGCCTTGCCCCACTCCACCAGCGCCAAGGTAAGCGTCCGCTGCCGCCTTCCTGAGGCCGGGCCCGGCACGGGGGGAGCCCAGCCCCGAGGGGATGCCGCCATGTTCCTGGCGGGAGGAGAGTTTGGGGTGGGTGTTGGGAGCTTTGCAGGGGCCCCATCTTTCTGTGGGTGACTGCTGTGTCCCTGCCCCGCAGCTGAGCCGAGTGAACAGCCTGAAGGAGCCCAACTCCATCTGCGAGAGCAGCCGCAAGCCCAGCTACCGCTCGGAGCCGAGCCTGGAGCCCGAGAGCTTCCGCTCGCCCACCTTCGGCAAGAGCTTTCACTTCGACCCGCTCTCCAGCGGCTCCCGCTCCTCCAGCCTGAAGTCGGCCCAGGGCACGGGCTTCGAGATGGGCCACCTCCAGTCCATCCGCTCGGAGGGCACCACCTCCACCTCCTACAAGAGCCTGGTGAACCAGACGCGCAACGGCAGCCTGTCGTACGACAGCCTGCTCACGCCCTCCGACAGCCCCGACTTCGAGTCGGTGCAGGCGGGCCCGGAGCCCGACCCACCGGTGGGTTACACCTCGCCCTTCCTCTCAGCCCGCATCGCCCAGCAGAGAGAGACCGACCTGCACGGCCGCTTCGCTGGCGCCGTCTCCCCCAAGCACGGGCCGCCCCGCGAGCCCTCGCCCGTGCGCTATGACAATCTCTCCCGCCACATCGTGGCCTCCATTCAGGAGCGGGAGAAGCTGCTGCAGCAGCCGGCCGGCCCCGGGCGGGGAGGAGGCCGCGGGGCTGGCGGCCTCGGGCATCCAGTCGACGCCGGGCTCCAGCAACGCCCCCCGCACCAGCTCTTCCTCGGACGATTCGAAGCGCTCGCCCCTGGGCAAGAACCCGCTCACCCGCCCGGCCCCACCCCGCTTCGGCAAGCCCGAGCCCCCCGGCGCGCTGCGGGTGCGCTCCCTGGGCTCCCCCGACCAGCCCGCTGCCCCCCACCTGGGCAAATCCGTGTCTTACAGCAGCCAAAAACCAGCGTCTCAGGCCAGTGTCCCCGAGGCGGAGGAGGTGGCCTTGCAGCCCTTGCTGGCACCAAAGTAAGTACCGGCACCGGCCGCCTCGCGCACGGAGTGGTCTGTGGCCCCGCAGAGGGGGACCCTCGCCCTGGCGCCTCGCCGGGACGCTCCGGAGGGAGCCAGGGGCCCATCGCCCCTCCCTCCCCGCCTGGTGCCCCCGCCAGCCCTCCCTCCTCTGCTCCAGCCCCCGGGGGCAGCGAACGCCCCTCGCTGGGGAGCGATGCTGCACGTGGCCTGGAGAAGGGCGAGGGAAATCTCCTCCTCCTCCTCCTCCTCCTCCCGGCGCAGCTGGTGCCCCCCACGCCTCCCAGGCTGCCCCATGGCCTCCCGGGGCGCCGGAGCGGTGCGTGGGTGCTGGGGTCCCCGGGGAGGGCAGGGCCGTGGCTGCGCTGGGTGCTGGGGTCCCTCCTGGGGGTGACGGCCACCCCACAGTCCCGTCCTTCTCCCCGCGGTGCCTGGCTCCCTCCCCCTCCTCACACCGTGTCCGTCTGTCCTTCCCTCCCCAGGGATGAGGTGCAGATGAGAACGGCCTACAGCAAGTCCAACGGGCAGCCCAAGAGCCTGGGCTCGGCGCCGCCGGGCCCGGGGCAGGCGCCCCTCAGCAGCCCCCCCCCCGG